ATGGCCAAATGATTTTACAAGATGCCTCTAGGTAGTTGGAGTAAAAAAAAAAAAAACTAAAAAAATGGTGATTGCCAGTTAAAAAAATAAAAAGCCTATCACACTTCAAATATAGTGCTTTAATGTAGTGTTAGTAGAAATTCTGGGACATATCTGTAAGATTTAATGTGATGCTGAAGAGACATGCTAAAAGAAGAGAGGCTTCTTCCTTGTTTAATGGATCATGCTCTAAGCAAACATCCAAAATACATTAAATTTATATTTGGGAATCATTTATATCTATGCACATCTTTCCCTTACACTCTAGAGTTACTCTCTCCTGATTTCTATGTACCTACAATCATTGCAGCACCGGGTCTGTGGAAAAACTTCAAATGTTCCCTATTATGAAATTAGTACTCTTTTGCTACCAGTCCTCAAATTAAAATGTTAATTCCTCAAAGAGCCATAGATTTGACAAGTTGTTTTTAAAAAGCAATATGATGAATCTAATTAGTATTATTGCATGTGACTGATGCTTACTCCTATCCATATTGTTAAAAATATTATGCAAACCATGTTCCTAATTTTTTTTAAAATTCCATGTTATTTTAAGATCTTTTGGTGGCAAGAAAATAGCATTAGGGCAAATTATTCTTGCCTAGGAGGTTCACTGGTCAGTTCTTCTAAATATTTCCAGGTTTTCACATATTCATTTCTCACTATTAAGACCACAGAATATGTAATGTTTTTAATTTTATTTTAATCATACCTAATATATCAAGTCATTGGGCCAATGACACAATTTATTGTATGTAATTTGTGCATTGTTACTATATTCAAGTTTGTTTTTCATATCTTCCATCTTTCTACTGATTGCATCTTTAAAATTGAGGCTAACATTTTGGTCATCCAACAAATGTTGGATGTCAAAATGTTGAGTGCCCTAAACACAGTATTCATAAGCTAGTTGTGTGAGTGAAAAAGTGATGAGTGGACAATAGGAGAATAATTTTTAAAATTTTAATAATCTTTGGAATTAGTTCAGAGATTAAATTTGTTTCTGATTTTTACTATTGCTGTACCTGGCTGTCTAATGAGGCAGTGAATCACTACCTCTGTATTAAGATAGGAATTTTCCACATGAAAGGGTCAAGATATGATTTAATAGCTAAGTATGAGACTGTTATAAGTATTTCCTGAGAGTAAAAGATATGAAGCAAAATAAAAACGAATAAACTCTATGAAGTATTGGGAGACTGTCTTTTAGAATTCAATTTGGAAATTGTTTCATCTGCCAAAGATCCAATGTAATCTATTATGCTCTTCTCATATCATATCCTAAGTTCTAGAAAGGAGAACAAGGTTTTAGAAAGAGTACTAGAGAAAGGCACTGACATAGAAAAGCAATGGAACTTCTAGGGAAGGCTAATAATAGATTAAAATTAAATATTAAAATACCTGAAACTCCGGTTTTGTTTGGATCTTTCCAGTAACAAAATGAAGATCAGTAGCTAGAGCTATAGTACTTTGATGAATACGCTATATTTAAATTTTAAACTTAATTGCATTTGCAAATTATAGGTAGTTAATAAAAACATTTAACATTTAAAAAATATTTCATTTAAAGATATCTGATATGGAACTACCTACCAAAAAAGGTTGATTTTAACTCCAGAACCACACTGCATGCTATCTAAAGTTTTTTTTTTAATTTTTATTTATTTATGATAGTCACGCAGAGAGAGAGAGAGAGAGAGAGAGAGAGAGAGAGGCAAAGACACAGGCAGAGGGAGAAGCAGGCTCCATGCACCGGGAGCCCGATGTGGGATTCGATCTTGGGTGTCCAGGATTGCGCCCTGGGCCAAAGGCAGGCGCCAAACCGCTGCGCCACCAAGGGAACCCGCTATCTAAAGTTTTTATGTATTTTTTCTTAAGCCATTTTATTGGCTGCTTGTATATCTAATTCTAGGTCATGTCTTCTTACATCCCCAGTTAATTGTACTGTGGCCTTTATAGACTTTTATTAAACAATTCCTTCAGATTATCCATAATTGTAATCAATTCTTTTGCCCCCAGGGGACAGCCCAGATTAGTAATACCACATTTATAATGATGTCTAATGATACTTGTTTCTTTATGGGAATGCTTCATATTACATACATACTTACAAATTTTTATCTCATCCAATTTCTAAACAGGGATGAGACTAGTTTTCTATGAAAAATCACATTGCCTTTCTACTATTTAATGCCAATAACTGATCATAAATAGTGTCACTAATGATGAGATATATCAATTTCTTTTTTTTTCTTTTTTATTTTTTGATATATCAATTTCTAAACTGTGCATGTTCAAGCTGTATGCTTCTGGTCACAGAAAGTAAATGTATAACAAAGAGCTATCCAAGAGCTGCCAAGAGACAATTTCAAATAGATTAAAGGTTACTTGAGAAGTATTATTCAGATATTTAGCAGAATCCTTAATTGCTAGAAAGCAATAGACAATTTAATCATTTTCATCTAGAGGGAACAGACTGGAGGGCTAATTTCTCACGTATTATCAAGGAGAGAGAGAGAGAGAATGAGAAAGAGAAAAAAGGGAGAGATTCAGTTTTTGCATGCAACATGAGTATTCAACTAAAGTATCAGGGGGGCACAATATGGAAACTATTTCTGAAATGCTCCTGCTTTCAGGCATTATCATGCATGTGGATAGCAAAATTACCAAAAAAGCATATGTTCATCCATTTATTCATTCAGTCATTCAATGAGTATTCACTCAGTGCCTCCCTTGTGCCAGGCATAGTTCTAACCTTTTAGGATACAGAGAAGAATGTGACAGAAAATCTCCTGTCCACACTCACAATACATTAGTATTGCACGATACAGGCAGACAACAAACAAGTAAACACAAATGAACAAAACAAGTTCAGACAGAGACTGGTACTAAAGACAAAACAGAAAGCCATGTGATGAGACAAGTAGCTGGAGGTAGGTACATTTCAGAATGGAAGGCAGAGACAAAATTCTGGATGGAAAAAATAAATACAAATCTCCATTTCTGAGAGGATAGTTATACAGGATTTTTTCTTTGTCTCTCTCCTGCTGACCATATTTTGCCATTTCACTAATTATTATTGTTTCATTAAAGTGCTGAAATGCCAGTCAATAAATGATTATTGAGATCCCACTGTGTTCTCAGCACCAGTACGATTGGAAAATGTGGTTGAATTCAAACAGCTAATTCTACTGCTGTGATAAAATATGAAGTAGAGAATGATGTTTAAATCAGTAAATAACTTAAGCCTTCTCTTTTTTTGAGGGGTGCATTTGAGTCTAAACCTCCCCAGTTCATCCATATATCACAAATCTTGAGATTTTTGCTCTCAATGATTCAGGAACTTCTGCAGGAGAAGGCATCATTTATTTCCACTAGATGGCACCAATTATTTTCATATTTTTTAGGGCCCCCACCCCCCCATACCCTTTTTGTATGTAATGGCCATATTTAAAATGTTAGAATATTAGTTAACACTATTATTAAAAAATTGGTTTTTTATTAAAACTTTTGTATAGAAGGATCACAGAAATAGCACTAAAAATGCTGTTCATTAACCAACATATGTGTTTAATGTATATTTGCTCCAATTTTTAAAAATGAATCAAACAATGTCTTTGAAAATGAAAAAAAGGAAAAAAGTAATTGAGTATAAGAATATATATAATAGTTGAATATATAAATATCAAAATCAAAAAAGCTTATAAAAGTATATTATGTTATTACATATATCTTTAAAGGTTTTGCAGAAAATAGTTTTAATAAGATGTAGCAGAATTCTTTATTTTTTAGGAGTAATTTCCCATTGTATCTCACAAGAATAAGCAATTTTAATATATATATACTGAAAACACCATAGTATTCATTATTACAATTAAATGTAACAAAAACTAATCCAAAATATAAAACAAGGATAGGAATCACTTAACTAAATATATATCATTTACTCATGTTCTATAAGAAATTTAATATGTATAGCTTTATAAAACTTAAACTTCAAATCTAAAAAATATTACAATTTCTGTTTCTAACTAGCAGGTTTACAGTGCAATTAAAACCCATGCAAAAATTTTCTACAGGAAAAGATCATGAAATATTCTTTTAAAAGGAGTTGGTAAACATTTAGAGTGTGTTTATTCAGAAACAAAATTTTACTATTCCTACATCTCCCATTAAAAACATAAAAGTGGGTCTGGAATAAATATACTTCTAAACCAGTAGACTTCAACATAAACAAGTATAGAAGGACTCTGACAATGGTTCCACTCATGATTTTTAAAATTTTATGATGCAAAAGCTATATGCATTCAGTACTTCAAATTTTGAATTTTGATTGTTTCCCAGCCTAGTAGTATGGGGTAGGATACTCTCCCACAATGTTGGGCAGTGGCAGTAAACCTCAGCCTGCAGTCAGCCGTGTGATCATGAGGGTAAACAACTGATATACTTAAAACCATCCTGTACTCACACTATTCTGTTTTTCACTTTCAGCTCAGAAGTCAATAAATTATATGAAATATTCAACACTTTATTATAATATAGGCTTTGTGTTAGATGATTTTGCCCAATAGCAGGCTAATGTAAGTGTTCTGAGCACATTTAGGGTAGGCTAGGCTAAGCTATGATGCTGGGTATGTTAAGTATATTAAATGCATTTTGACAATATTTTCAACTCCCAATTAGTTTACTGGAATATAACTTCCTCACAAGTCAAGGAAGGTCTGTAACAACAAAATGAGAGTGCATGTAAGATGCACCAAAAAGTACAATATAGTGTGTGAAGACTATATTTACTTATAAGAAAAAATAAGAAGTGACATGCTTATTATGCTAAGAGATTTACTTTTAACATTTAAACATCTTTGCTACTTTAAGATGAAAAGTGGGTGCCTCAAACTAGCTGCTAGTTGGACTATCACTGTATTTCTTTCATTCTAAGACAGTCCAAAAATAATACTCACTTTAATATCTGCCAGAGTTTTTTGCCTCATGGTAATGTTTGTTCGATACCTCTGCTCTTCCTCATAAAGTCTCTCTTCATAGATTTTTTTCTCACTTACAAGATGATCAAACACAGCTTGAGCATGTTCCTTTTTGTATCTCATAGTTACAAATTGGTTCCTACAAAGAAACAAATGTATTTGACACTAATCAATTCCTATTTTATTTTTTAAAATACATTTGTGATACATTTTAAAAGAGTCAATATTGCAAAGTCTTAGAACTGAAGGGGTTTGGGAAAAATTCCCTAATCCTTTCTATAGATCTACCTCCACAGAGCTACTTCTAAATGATCCAGTTGGAAGGAAATCTCTGGAGAAATTTAGTATATTCTCTTGGTTGCCTACCCAGCATGCTTCTATTTTGTTGTCATTCTAAAAGAACCCCTCCTCCATGCAGCATATAACACCAACAATACATTCTAAACAGATTGAGCCAACTAGCAAGTGGCTAATTATTTAGGAGTGAACATACATATTAATTTAGCCTAGTAAGATGAAAGACAAGGACCTAATTCTATGTAGAAAAGGCTCAACATCTACTAAATGTGAAGGTCATGTTTTCAAGCTTTATATCAATGGACATAGTGGAAAGAGAAAAAAATGAGTACCTAATTTTGAGCTGCTAAATCAACCAACTCTGCAGCTTACTCTACCCAAGAGTCCCTATTATATAAGATGACACATTTCCCTATGGTTTAGTTCAAGCTGTTGTGTTAATATTTGTTTATGTGTGCATGTGCATGTGTGTGTATATTTTGGCATCTGTAACTAAGTATATTCTGACACAGAGGTTAAATGATTTTTATTTAAAATAAGGAACAACACTAGTAGAAAAAAAACATCAAAAAGTGGTTAAAACAACACTGAAAACAAATACACTTAAGAAATAATTGCCAGAGTTGATCACTAACACAGAATGCAGAATAAACAGAGCTGTAAAAGCTCACCACAGTTTTATGTTACCCATATTTGTTTTTATCTTTGCTGGTATAGAAAAGTGAATCATTTGCAGTTAGCTAAAAAGGCAGCAGGACTAAAGTTTTTGAGAAGCTGAAATGTTAAAGTGCTTTGAATATAATATCTCATTTAATACAACAACAACCTTATAAAAGAATAATAATTACAGTGATTTACAGATGAGGAAACTAAACTTCACCATGATTAGCTTATATAAGCTCACTAGTAAATACAGAACCAGAATGCAAGTCCAGTTTTGTCTTACTCTGATTCAGCAGCTCAACACTAAATAATCTTTTTTTTTTAAAGGATGGCTACTACTTTTTTTTTTAAAGATTTTATTTATTCACTCATGAGAGACACACACAGAGAGAGGCAGAGACACAGGCAGAGGGAGAAGCAGGCTCCATCCAGGAAGCCCGACGTGGGACTCGATCCCAGGTCTCCAGGATCACGCCCTGGGCCAAAGGCAACACTAAACCGCTGAGCCACCTGGGCTGCCCTCTCTTTCTCTACTATGGCTGTTACCAGAAATTTGAAATTTGAGAACAATTATTTTGTTCACATTTTTAGATGTGAGCCTCTCCTTTCAAATAGAACAAGGTCAAAAACTAAAAGACAACCCATAGAATGGGAGAAGATATTTGCCAATGACATATCAGATAAAGGGCTAGTATCCAAGATCTATAAAAAAACATTAAATTTATTAAACTCAACAGCAAAGAAACAATCCAATCATGAAATGGGCAAAAGACATGAACAGAAATCTCACAGAGGAAGACACAGACATGGCCAACAAGCACTTGAGAAAATGCTCCACATCACTGGCCATCAGGGAAATACACATCAAAACCACAATGAGATACCACCTCACACCAGTGAGAATGGTGATAATTAACAAGACAGGAAACAAAAAATGTTGGGGAGGATGCGGAGAAAGGGGAACCCTCTTGCACTGTTGGTGGGAATGTGAACTGGTGCAGCCACTCTGGAAAACTGTGTGGAGGTTCCTCAAAATGTTAAAAACAGAACTACCCTAAGACCCAGCAACTGAACTGTTGGGGATTTACCCCAAAGATACAGATGCTGGGAAACACTGAGAAACCTGCACCCCAATGTTCATAGCAGCAATGTCCACAATAGCCAAACTGTGGAAGGTGCCCATTGAAAGATGAATGGATAAAGAAGCTGTGGTCTATGTATACAATGGAATATTACTCAGCCATTAGAAACGACAAATACCCACCATTTGCTTTGATGTAGGTGGTACTGGAGGGTATTATGCTGAGTGAAGTAAGTCAATCGAAGAAGGACAAACATTATATAGTCTCATTCACTTGAGGAATATAAAAAATAGTGAAAGGGAATAAAGGGAAAGGAGAGAAAATGAGTGGGAAATATCAGTGAGGGTGACAGATCATGAGAGACTCCTAACTCTGGGAAATGAACAAGGGGTAGGGGAAGGGAGGTGGGCGGGGGGGTAGGGGTGACTGGCTGACGGGCACTGAGGGGGGCACTTGACAGGATGAGCACTGGGTGTTATGCTATATGTTGGCAAATCGAACTCCAATAAAAAAATACAAATAAAATAAAATAAAAATTCTAAAAAAAAAAAAAACAAAACCAAAAGCAAATAGAATAAGGTCTTCCCTTTAATCTGTGTTACCCATGTTTTTTTCCACTTCATCACTCATACCAAAACATCCAAAATTCTTATGTGGTATCCTATATAGATATTCACTAGTATCAATATTAGGAAACCGTGAAAACCATGAAATTCACATGGGGAAGAGCTAGTATGGCCAGAGCCAAAAAAAGTTGCTCATAGTTGCTCCCTGCTATCATTGTATCTTGACCACATATATTTTGTTCACTATGCTAAGCATTTTGATATTGGATTACATTCAATACGGCATTTTTATTAGTTAATTATATATATGTACCCACACATACATTATATAGACTATATATGCATATCTCTGCATGAAAATAGTGTTTCCTAAAAAAAAAAGAAAGAAAGAAAGAAAGAAAGAAAGAAAGAAAGAAAGAAAGAAAAGAAAATAGTGTTTCCTTTCTCATCTCTTTCCTTTCTCTTTCTTTTTCCTAAAAAGAAAAAATTCTGAAGTCCTATGGGTCATGGTTTAAATTCTTTTACAATTGTAAAGATTAGAGTCAAGAACAGCTATTATTCTGAACCCCATATTTTAATAGCTTTGCATATGTAAGTTTGTATTTCTAAAATTATCTTTAGATACTTGAAGTTACACCTTCCCATTTGTTGTTTCTGTCCTTCTTGGTGTCTGGCACTAGACACACTCTCAATAAATAATGATTAACTTGATACAATCACCTATTGAAAATACCAGTAGATTATTACTAACACAGTTTATTTGCAATAATCTTCCTTTCCAATTCTCATTTAGGAAGTCCATGTGCACAGTTGCAGAAGTACACACTTTGGAACAAGATGGACCTACACTGGAGCTGGTTCTACCACTGATTAGCTGTACAATGACAATCATTTAATTTCCCTGAGCTTGTATTTCCTCAGTATTCATATGAGGATGTTATTACATAATTTAAAAATTTGCTGTGAGAATTGGATAATATAAGGTACACAGATTGCCCACAAGGTGCTTGGTACATTAGGAAGTCAATCAACGGTAACTTTAAATATTATTTGACATTATCCATCATCATTGTTAATTAAAAGATCTATAAACATTGTCACAGCATCAGCTATTCTATTTCTCTTTTTCCTGTGAGAAGGCAGTTTTGTCAAGTTGGGAGACGGAACTGATTCACTGGGACACGATAACCACTCTTGTTCCAAAGGCAATATAATCTAGCCACAGAATAGAAGAAAATATTAGAACTGAAATGATAAGAATTCTGAAGAAAAGAAATTCACTAGCTCCTAAACTAAATCTTTATAAGTTTAATGTGAATTATATAATCTTAGATTTATACCACTGAATCTCAAAATATTCTTACAGATGTTAAATAACATGAATAAATATCTTTCGAAGTAAACATAATTCCTTGATTATTTACATGATACACTGAATATGATTTTGTGTTTTTAGATAAAGCTGTATGATCATTTGAACATAAGTTTTTACCCTATAGTAGTAACAGCTAAATAAATCCTTATTGAGTGCACTGACTTCATTTTATCATAGTATAAGATAATCAAGTTGTGCATAACTGTTTTTCTGACATTTTATCCCTCAAGTGCTATGATTTTGCTAATGCTGCGTTAGCCTTATTTAAATCAAACTATAATTCCTAAATGTGAACACTGTATATCTTCTAGAAGTCCTCCAAGCTCTGTTCTCAATGTATTACAAAATAGAGAATAAGAACCAAAAAGGGGGCACTTGAGTGGCTCAGTGGTTGAGCATCTGCCTTTGGCTCAGGTCATGATCCCAGGATCCTGGATTCGAGTCCCACATCAGGCTCCCTGCAGGGAGCCTGCTTTTCTCTCTGCTCTCCTCTGTGTCTCTCATGAATAAATAAATACAATCTTTAAAAAAAAAAAAAAAGAACCAAAAAGCCATAAAGGAAGAGTATGTAAATTCTAAGTGAGGGTTTATGGAGAGTGAAAAACCTTACTAAAACCCTTGTCAGGTATGCCCCTGGCTAATAAAGGAACTGAATAAGAGGTTTCTGAAGACAATAAATATGAACAAATTACATGAGATTTTGCAGACTATTTCTAAAGGCTTACTTCAAAACTTACTAAAAAGGTTGGGTGAAAAACTATGTATTATTAATCATGTCATGTGAGTGAGAAATACTGAAATTAGTGGGAACAATTAAGAATAAACCTTAAAGAAATTTGGTCTTATTTCTTTTATAGATAATACGTTGAACATCTAATATTTTAATTACTTTGATAAAATTTAAGTACTTACTTTAAACTCTCAAGTGTCTGAGCAAAAATATCCTTTTCTTTCTCTTTTTCTTTTAAGTTCTTATTCAATTGAACTATTTTTGCATGATAAATCATTGTTTTACTTTTAGTGGTCTCTATTTCTTTGAAAATTATTGAGCATTTTTCCTGGAAAATAAATTCAAAGATGTTTTATTATAAATACTAGAATTTTCAAATCCTTGCAATTTAAGGACATAATTACATTTGGCCATGTGAATAATAAAAAAGCATATAGTATCTTCTTATCAGTGTAAGTAACAACTTAGGTTTATGTTCTTTCTCTTCTCCATAGTTACATCTGATAAGATCTTCTAAAAGATTACGTACAACTAACTATATAGTTAGTCTCTCTCCTTAGTCTCCCTTTTCTCCCTCTCCTCTGCACTGTCTCCTCCTTCACATACCCCAGTACATGCACATCTTAAAGGCATGTCCTTTCTTTTTTTTTTTTAATTTTTATTTATTTATGATAGTCACACAGAATGAGAGAGAGAGGCAGAGACATAGGCAGAGGGAGAAGCAGGCTCCATGCCCGGGGAGCCGGGCGATCGCGCCCTGGGCCAAAGGCAGGCGCTAAACCTCTGCGCCACCCAGGGATCCCAAGGCATGTCCTTTCAAAATAAACATGTGGTTGCTGTTTTTCAAACTTGTACATTGAAGGTGGGCAAGGATATACATTGTCCTGATTTTTCAAACAAAAGAAGTTGACATTTAAAACCCATACACTTTTCCAAGGCTGGCCTGTACAATTCCAGACCGAAGATTTGATTTTGCATCTATTTTTTGCATGATCCCTTCATGACTGCTGATATTTATATTGACTGAATAATTTACTGACTGGATGACTGACTTACTGAATGTTGTTCCCCACATCTGGCATTGCTTCTAATTAGTACTACTCTCCCAGCTGATTTCAGCTGCTTTCTCTGCTCCCATTTTCTTCCCTTTTCCCCCATATGCTCCCTTATTCTTTCACTACTCTTATAGACTTTACTAAGAAAGGCTAATCTTTTATATTTATTTTTCTATAAAAATCTCCTAGGGCAGCACTGGTGGCTCAGCAGTTTAGCACTGCCTTCAGCCCAGGGCATGATCCTGGACACCTGGGATCCTGTCCCGCGTCGGGTTCACTGCATGGAGCCTGCTGCTTCTCCCTCTGCCTGTGTCTCTCTCTGCCTCTCTTTCTCTCGCTGTCTCTCATGAATAAATAAATAAAATCTAATATATATATATATTTGTCTATGACTTTCAACACTGGATACTCTATTTGGATTTTCATACTCTCCATTTCTTTCTTTTTCTGAAAGTTCTGGAATCAGTCTACTGATAAATGAAGATTGTCGGTTTGTTTTTGTTTGTTTGTTTTTAATACCTGAGTGTAGCTGAAAAATGGCTGACTAAGATCCTTCAATGTGACCAGCCTGCTGGTTATATTATATAATATAACTGCTGGTTATATTATATTATTACTGAGAGAAAAGTCAACACCCCCTAAAAAGTGTGAAGAGGTACAAGTATGGAATAAAGTAAGTAGGTAGGAGTTAAAGAAGATAGGCAACTCTGAGTACAGCAATGCTATCACTAAACTTGACTTTTGAGTCAGATTCCATAATTCACACCTTAATCTTGAATGAAGATCTCACAGAAAACTGAGAAGACATCAGAAGCAATGGTATCAACAACTTAGAGCATACCTGCCAATTCAGTGGTGCTGAATCTGGTGTCAGAAGACTCTATACTAAAGGAAAGAAAGAGACACACACTTCCTGCAGACAGGAATGAAAAGCAAAAAAATGGCATTTTGGAACTGTAATAGGTACCATCAGTGACCTCTGATAAATATGGATAGCATATCCCCTTCCATGGCATCAAAAATATCAGAAACTTCACTATAATGAGATGAGTCTAAAGAGAAGCTGTTAAATGTTGCATGTCAATCAGGAGTACAAAGCTACACGTCTCTATTGAGTAAAAGTTTGGGGACCTCCCCCGCCAGAGCCATTTGTAAGTCTTTTGATAAATGCTGAAATGCCACCAGAGCAAATGGGAAGAAAGGCATAAAACAGTACTTTTATAATCGGCAACTATTTGGCTTATTTTTTCTCTAGCCTGGGGGACACAGGCTTCAATAATTTGAAGGCTTTCCAAACCAAGAATACTTTCATGTCAAGACCTGAAAGAATCTAAAAATCTGAATTAGCAGTTAATTAATGTTTTAGTATACAACATTTTCCATCATTTCCTTATCTTCAAAACTTTTAAGTCACATATTTAAAAAGATTTAGGTAATACAGATTATATTCAGATTCTGAACGATTTATTTCAAATTATATTTTTAATTTTTATTTAAGATTTAATATATTTATTTTTATTATCTAAATAAGTTTAGAATCTATGCCTAAGATTTAAATTAGGATTAAAAATAGTAAAAATTCAGTAATTCATGTTTAGCTTGGCCCATGATTGAAATGCTTAGCCACAGTAAAAGATAAAAGTATCTGTCTTAAAAATTATTTGTCTTAAATTCTTAGAAGACAGAAATGGGGCCTACAGCATGGCTTGTACATCTATCAGCATAAAAACCGTTAGTAAATTCTATTAATGATGTTTAACATTATAACAGTTTGGGGTTCAACAGTATGGTGCATGAGGCATTTCTTCATCTGTGTATCATCCATCTCACTAGAGTCATCTCTTTTCACTCTTATAATAGGTGCCCTACTCTCTGGTCATACCAAACTACCTGCAATTCCACAAACACATAGCAATATTCCATGATATCTTTGGTTTGCAATATTCCATGATATCTTTGGTTTGCAAAAAGTATGCACATGTCCAAGCTAGGGGAGAGGGGCAGAAGAAGAGGGAGATAGAGAATCTCAAGTTGGCTCCATGCCCCACACAGAGCCTGATGTGGGGCTCGATCTCAAAACCCTGAGATCATGACCTGAGCTGAGATCAAGAGTCAGAGGCTTAAACGACTGACCCACCTAGGTGGCCCTACGCTTGTTCTTGTGGCTAGTGGTAGAGTACAGACAAATTACATTTATTCCATAATTATCATTCTACTCTTATTGTGATTTTCCCTCTTTATTAATTTTTCATTACTTGTATTTTATAAATAAATTATATACCTCATCTAAATTTTATTTTATTTTACTTTTTTAAAAATTTTATTTATTTATACATGAGAGACACAGAGAGAGAGAGAGGCAGAGATATAGGCAGAGGGAGAAGCAGGCTCCTTGCAGGGAGCCCGATATGGGACTCGATCCCAGGACTCCAGGATCACGCCCTGAGCAGAAGGCAGGCACCAAACTGCTGAGCCACCCAGGGATCCCCTATCATCTAAATTTTAAAACAAAATTTTATGCAAAATAGCATTCTTTCTTTTACTAATATATAATTATGTCTCTTTTAATTTTTCTGTGGCTGTTTTTATCTTCTTTTTCTCCTTATAGATATGCTAAGCACTTTAAGTTTTTCTCACCAAAATAATTTATTGGTAACACTAAAGTATTACCTTGGCCTGTTCCATAAATTTTCCTGTAGTTTATCATCAGTCATTTATCAATAATTTATGCTTCTAAAACAACATAGAAACAAATAATGAAAAAATATAATTCAAAAAATATTTCAAGTAATCTGTTCTCTTTTTGCTCTATTTTTTTGTTATTGAGTCTGATTTTGCTTCATTGTATCCAACGAAAGTAACCTGTATGATCTCATCAGAATAATGGAATGGTTAAGAGCACAGACTCTAATGACAGTGCCAGATTTAGTGAATCTCAACTCCACCATTAACGAACTGTGTGAAACTGAACAAATTAATTCAAAAACAAGGCATTAGATTCTTCAACTGTAGAATGGGGATAATAATATTACAATCTCCATAGAGTAATTATGAAGTTGAAATGAGTTAATATGTCTGAGCACTTAAAATAATGTCTCGTATATAGAGAACATGCAAAATATCAGTATCTGTTCCTGTTATTATTTTCCTTGATAATTTTTATATTTTTTTGTGGCCTAGTACAGAGCAAACTTTTTAAAAATGATATGATTATACCTCTATCTCATAGCCTACATGCTGTCCACCAACAAATCTAATTGGTATAAACTTTAAAATATATCCAGAGGATAGCAAGTTAAAGACAATGGACTATCTCCACTTCCTCATATCCAATGATTCTTTAAAAGCAGAATATTAGAGATGAGGACTTTCAGGGAGCAAATATTTCTATCTTGGAAAAAGCTCTGAGTTCTTTGATATATGACCATTTGTTCATGTTGCCGATACACGAGATTGAGGGTAAAACTGAGATGTCGGATATTGATAGATGTTTCCGTCTGTACACTGGGTCTCATCTGTAGAAACATAATTCTATTTAATACAATACAAATTCCTACCTCTATTTAGTAGGAGAGATTAACAGGAGGACGTACTAGTACAATGGAAAAAGCACTGTAAGAGAGAAAAAAATGAAGACAGAGAAACTGTGTGTGTGCATGAGTGTATGTTATAGAAACTACTTAGTGCAACCAATTAGAAATGAGAGGCATCCACCTAAAATAAATTTGCTTGAGCAGTTTTCATTGACATAAAGAAGCTGAAAATCCATAATTGTTTTTTATATTAAATTTTTACCCCAGTTTCTGTTATTGCATCACGTGTTTTCTTCCCCTTTCTTCGCAATTTTTTCTTTGTTCTTTCCACATTTCTTTTAACATAGTCTCTCCTCTCAGTTATATCATTTAACATCTAGAAGACATTTAGAAATTAACATGAGCAGCATTTATAATCCAATTACCCTGGCTTAGACCAAATGGCTCCCAAGTAACTATTTTATTAATAACAAAATATATTTTGGTATAAAGGAAAAGGACCACCACACATGAATTATAAAAATATATTATGATATCCACATCCCAATATTCCATTTGAATTACTTGAGAAAACCAATGTCTAGTCAATTTTAGCTAAGTAACAAAAATTAACAAACTCACATAACAACTAAGTTTTTAATATGATATTTAAAATATCTTAACCAAAATTAAAACTCCAAATACAAATTGTCAGTAATCATTACCAAAAATACATAAAAATCTATTATTTTCAAGTTTGTGTTAAGTTGATAGTTCTTACAATTTATAAACTATTAAAATATAATAAAAACAAAAATAGATTACTGAACTATAAGATGAGATAAAACAATGGCTATTATAAAATAAGGGGGAATAAAAGTCATTAATCTTTTCAGGAATTCATTATACTCAGATGATTATACTGAACCTTTTGAAGCAATTAATAAATTTCCATCACTAATGTAAGGAGGACCCATTATTAAAATCATTTATCTCACTAGGTGTTAGTACTGGTTATATATTCATTACATGAGCTCTAGGATAAGCAATTAAGAATCTTGAGTGCAGTAGTATACTCAGAATTTGTTGTTGCCATGTTTTATGCCCTTGTACGAGTTGCTTCATGCATTTAGGCCCAAGTTTTCTGCAGTCTATGATACGGATAAACTTGCCATGGCTATTTCATAGGGAGGTTTTGAAGATCAAAATAAACTTTCATAATGGGAACATTTTATAAATCATGAAGTTTTTTTAATTAAAAAAATCCTGAAAATTACTGAAAACTAAGATTATAAAGTTACATCATCATTCACAAAGAAAAATCCTGTTGCCAAAATGGCTCAAATGAATATATGTATGTCCTCCCTGCATCTAAGGACAAGAATATATAACTCTTACCACACCCTCTACTTTTCCAAAAGACTAATGACATGATGCATACATATTTTTCTACTAAATTTTTCTTTGGGAAGGGCTAGTAATATCAGTTACTGCCATAAACTTGTTGTTTTGAAAATACTTTATCGATATTTGCTTTATTTTTCATCCTACGTGTCTTAACTTCTTCTACATACATCGAATATTTACTATAAAAATATCAAGATGCATATATTTTATATTTGAGGAAACACAGTTTTAACATTTTCTTAATAAGCAGGAACACTTTGAATTAAATTTAACATAGTGGGCAATCACTAATAGTGTCTGGTCATAAAATATACATTTTGTTCATGCTTTTATGGCTTCCTATATAAAATCATAATATTCCAAGTAAAAATGTAAAATCACATACATGATTTGTTGACCTAAATATTCCTGGAAATAAGCTTCTGGATGAATTATAAATGCTTACATCAGAATGTTCTTTGTGAGTAGTTCTGATTCTTACAGCATCTTCTTCTAGTTTAAGCAGAGGTGTCTCTAGCTCTGCCAATGCCAGAGCATACGTTACTCTCTTTTCCAAAAGCTCCCTCCTCTCAAGTATCTGTTCTTCTTGAATAGAATAGAGTTTTTTCTGCCAGAAAATATTTTAAATAATTCATTCAGTTATTAATTACCTAAACATGGGGATTAAGGAGTGTACTTGTGATGAGCACAAGGTGATATACAGACTTGCTGAATCACTATATTGTACACCTGAAGCTAATATTTTACTGTATGTTAACTAACTGGAATTAAAAATTTAAAAATAAAAAAATTATTGAGTCTCAATCGTAAATCAGGCAGTAATGTTTGTTTTTTGAAAATTTAAAAAAAGTTATGCCACCATAAAAAGCAGTAAGTCTGAATATAGCATCTTTAAATAATGCATAGTTATTACTAGAAAAATGTGAGAAAAAATTTAATATAGACAATAAAAATCAAACATTCTTAAGTAAGTGCTGGAAAATAATAAGGCTAAAAAGCACACTAACAACAAATATTGATATATATGTAATTCCTGTAATCTAAGATCCAATGAAATCAATGAATAAGAAGTTAATGATACATTATTAAGCAGAAAGGGCTAGAAGATTATGGAATTACTGAACATATATATTCATAGAGAGAAGAAGCATTTGGCATTTTCAATATATAGAAGTAGAGAGAGACAGTGCTTTTATATGTTTGCAAATGCCAAATTTGGGACGCCTAGGTGGCTCAGTGGTTGAACATCTGCCTTTGGCCCAGGACATGATCCTGTAGTCCGGGGATCAAGTCCCACATTGGGCTCCCTGCATGTAGCCTGCTTCTCCCTCTGCCTGTGTCTCTGCCCCTCTCTCTCTGTGTCTCTCATGAATAAATAAATATTAAAAAAAAAAGGAAATGCCAAATTTTCTAACAGAAAAAAAATCACAATTTGTGTTTATTTCAAAGAAGACCAGAGGTGCAGATAACCTCAAATAAGTTTATAAAATGTTTTGCCTCTTGATTTTATTTTTATAATTTCAAGTATTTACATATTTCTGAAAGAGGCATTCTAGAAACATGCCAAAGATCAAAACACTCAACCTTGGTTCCAGAGAATATGCAGGTGGTAGATAAAAATTAAAAAAAATTAAAATTGATTTTGCTAGCTAAAATAATTTAATTTCAAAATCTTATGTAGAAATATCATAGTATATTTTTCTTTAAGTGTTAAATAAAGAAATTCAATTGAAAGGCACTAAAAGTAAAGAAAGCATAACATCATCACAAAGCAAACTAAAGAGACACTTAGGAATAAGATCTCACTGCCCTTTTACTAGACTGGCAGAAATTCCCATTAAGCCACAAAATAAGATATGTGTATGGGAGGTCAGTTTCTTTATGCATGATCAGATACTGCTAGTCGTACACAGAGGGCAACTGTCATCAGCTAAGGAGAGAAAACTGCTGGCTTGCAAACCAAGTAGTGAAAAGATGCCTCATTACAGGCAAATTTAAAATGCTAAGTACAATGCAAATTAAAGGAAGAAGAAAATATTGAAACCAAATTAGGATTACCTGAATCATCATTCCATTAGCCACTTCACCTCGGGTGAGTCTTTTCAAGAATTCTTCTCTACCCTATATATTATCAAATTTTTAAAGAAGGTTTTACCTATAGGATATCAAAATATTATTAAAAGCAATTCCTAACACAAAATATATTTTACTTATATTATAATAAAAAATATTCATTAAGAATTGAGTATTACAAAAAAACACAAAAAACAACCAACTGAACAAACAAAACTCCTTGTGTTATTTGAAGCAAAGGTAGTAAGTGACGTAAGACCAAGAAATAGAATATAGAATTTCATTTCAGTCCAGTTTATTATACTTTATATCCCTGAACTAAAATACCAAAGTAATCAAAAGGGAAAAACTTTCAATTCCTCCCTTTTAGTCTTCAATTCCTCTTTTTAAAACTATCAGTTTGTTTTTAATATTATTTTCCAGAAGGCACACAATCAATTTTGAAAACAAGACAAACACAATTTAAGTTTGAAGTTTATAAAATGTGATCATGCTCTCCTTTTGGCTAGATTTTTTTTTCTTAAAAAAAATCATTCATTGGAAATTAGTGGGCAAAAAATGTGGATTTAAAGTCTCCATAGTGATACTCGACATTACCATGCAACCAGAGATGCTGCCTTTTAATTATGCAATATGAATCATGTAGCTGCTAAAAACATTATCAGGATTAAATGGATACATATTATGATAAACTTAACACAAGAGAGTGTGGTCTTAGCAAAATATCAATTGAACTATTATTGACAATGTTCAAGAAAGAAGGCTGGAGAATGACAAAGAATTATAGTAGTTCTAAGAACATTTCCTAAATAAATAAATTGTTAACAAATGCATTAGCAAATAAACAAATTGCTTTTGGTTCCTAGGTTGGGTAATTAAATTGTAAAAGTTTTAGGTTCTTTCAAACTAAAATATATGTTTTTTAAAATTTCTTTATATAACGAGAAACTCAAGATCCACTGAAATATCATAATCACACATATTCTTATTTATAAACATCATGTTAAGGATGGAAAGTGAAACCAGGCCTATACACTGTTTTCCCGAGACTTGGGAGACAGGTGAAGTGGTAGGAAATCCAGAGACAAGTGCCTGGATCAGAACTGAAAGAAGACTGTCATTTTCATGAACATGGCCTGCAATCCAGTTTGTGCCAGACTTTTCAGTTCCCATTACCAATTCATTATAAAGGGAATAAAAGCCCACAACAATTGCCATTTCACAACTATTACAATAATGGATTCAACCAAGAATTATCAATAGATACTAAATTGAAGTTGTTTTGGGGGAAACAAAGACATTGCATGTTCTTAAAATATCATTCAATTGAGTACTTATTAATTACAACAGGAAAATGAACACGTCTGTTGGTCATAATGTTAACCCATGATCAAACTTACTAACTTACTATCACTAGTAATGAGACAAATTTATACAATGTGCTTTGTGATGTTCCATTGACACAATATTATAACTATGTAATTTCCTGCCAAAAGTGTTTAACCTGAATCTAATCATGAGCAAACAAAAAATAAATCCATAGTGAGAGATATTCTGCAAAATAACAGGTCTAGACTCTTCAAGAAATGTCAATGTAAAAATGTCAATGTAATGAAAGACAATTTTTTAAAATGTAGGCAACTCTTTAAAGTAGAATCAAGTTTTGAGATAAATGCAATGCATGGTGCTAAATTACATATAGAAACCAAATGAATTAGAGAAATCTGCATATGCACTATGTATTTGTGCCAGTTATCTCATTATTGCCTCTTAGCTCTAAATCCACTCTTTTAACTCTAATTTGAGATGCTAGAGCTGTATATGTAAGCAGTTTTCTTCTGCCAGCTGGAGTTAAGTTAGGCTTTATCAATAGAGGGCAGTGGAGGGGCTTATAAGGCTGCAGGCAGCAAGGTGCTTCACATCCCTGTTCTGATTCCAGTTATTTCCTTTTCTTTCTGCAGAACTGCTGCCAGCTGGTATGCAGAACACCAATGGTGCTTACCCTGTAGCAAGGTTCTCTACCCAGAAACTCCATTTAACCTCCATCAAAATCTCTGCAAGTGGCTTAATATGGTCATCCACTGAGACATAGCCACACTCTCTCCAGTAAGACTTTACTCTGCTTTGGGGGAAGGCAGCCTTTTACATGCTTATTCCTTATTTGGATATTTATCCCTGAAGGATGTGGCTGCCCTCTATACTTGCTAGTCTTAAAGTCTTATATTCTTTAGAGCAGAAGTCAGAGCAGAAGTCAACAAGCTTTCTCTGTAAAAAGTAGAAAATTTAGTCTTTGGGGACATAAAGTCTCTGTAACAACTAGTCAATTCTAGTTTGGAGAATAAAATATATCAAATATATCAAAGATCACTTTGAAGAGCTTGAAAGAAGCCAAAGAAAAGAGGGAGCATTCTTAGATGCTGGAAAGAAAGTCACCTTTGACCTGCTGCCTGGCTTTAGCAGCCAAAGACCAGAAGGTGGCAGCAAAGAGCTATTCTACTGGAAGAGACTCCTATGCTAAGACAAAGAACTGAAGAGCAATGTAACAATGCTTATGTGTCCAGAAACTCACTTTCAGAGAGAAAAGACAAGTAAACACTAAATATAAATATATATAAGCTCAGAATCAAGGATGTAAACAGCAGTATGCTCTTCAGTGATGGAGGGGTGCTAAGACAAAAGTTAGAGAACGGAAATAATTATATAAGGTCTGAAACCAGGAACAGAAAAAAAAAAAAAGACTTTCAAATTAAGAGTTATAATCATATAGAAAAATTTAGTAGTTCTGCAAATAACTGAGTTGGACTGAGTCAGTGGGACAGAGTAGTTCTTGCTCTGCATTGTTAGAGTACTGTTTAGTGGCCAGGATTCTAACAAAAATCCAGGTAGCAGCCCAAACAGATTCTTTCTAAAAATAAACACAAAGGCACTATTTTATCTTTCTTTTTACATGAAAACATATGTTTTTTTTTTTTGTAGAAACATTTTTAAATTACAAAGAGTAAAACTAAAATAACCTGAATCCTCAAACCCAGAGATATGCATTGGGACTTTCTGGTATATTCCTTTTTAGGTACAGTCATTAAAGTTGACTGCAAGAATCTAGCTTACACCAATTGAATGCAAATCTTTAAGTCTTGTTTTTAGAAATAATTTTAATTAACTATACATTACAAATATATTTAGAGTTCTCTACATACAGCTGGTTTAGTATCCACAAGTCAGTCAACATGATATATGAAATTAACAAAATGAAGCATAAAACCATATGATCATCTCAACAGATACAGAAAAAAAAACATTTGACAAAATTCAGTATCTGTTCATGATTAAAAACTCTCAACAAAGTAGGTCTAGAGGGAACATATCACATACTAAAGGCCATACAGGACAAGCCAATAGCTAACATCATACTCAATGGTGAAAAATTGAAAGCTTTGCTTTTAATATCAGGAATAAGACAAGGATGTTCACTCTAAGCACTTTTATTCAACATAGTACTGAAAGTCCTAGATGCAACAATCAGACAAGAAAAAGTAATAAAAAGTATTCAATTAATTAAAGTAGTAAAACTGTCACTATTTGGAGATGATATAATACTATATATAGAAAACATTAAAGACTACCAAAAAATTATTAGAACTAATAAATGAATTTGGTAAAGTTGCAAGATACAAGAAAATACATAGAAATCTGTTGTGTTTCTATACATTAATAATAAAGTAGAAGAAGAAATTGAGAAGACAATCCCATTTAAAATCATACCAAAAATAATATCTAGGATAAATTTAATCAAGGATGTGAAAGACCTATATTCTGAAAACTGTAACATTAATGAAAGAAAATGAAGATAACACAAATGACCTGATATATCATGCTCAAGAATTGGAAAAATTAATATTGTTAAAATATCTATACTACCCAAAGTTACTATAGATTCAATGCAATCCCTATCAAAATACCAATAGGATTTTTCACAGAACTAGAACAAATAATCCTAAAATTTGCATGGAATAATAAAAAAGCCTAGTAGCCAAAGCAAGCTTGACAAAGAACAAAGCTAGAGTTGTCATAATATACTACAAAGCTCTAGTAATCAAAACAATTTGGTACTGGTACAAAAACAGACACACTGATCAGTGGAACAGAATACAGAGTGCAGAAATAAACCCATGATTATATGGTCAATTAATATATGACAAAGGAGGCAAGAATATGCAATAAGGAAAAGACTGTTTATTCAATAAATGATGCTGGCTGGTGGAATTTAAAACAAGCAAACAAATAGGCAAAAAAAAAAAAAAACAAATTTATAAATATAGGGAACAAACTAGTAGCTGCCAGAGGGGGAGAAGCATAGGCAGATGTGAGAAATAGGTGAAAGGAATCAAGAGGTACAAACTTCCAGTTGTAAAATAAATAAGTCATGGAGATGAAAAGTAGAGCAAGGGGAATATAATTAATAATATTGTAATAACATTGTATGGTAGCAGTAACTGCATTTATTGTGGTCAGCACTGAGTGATGTATAGAATTTTGAATCACTATGTCATGCACCTGAAACTAATATGATATTATATGTTGACTATATTTCAATAATAAAAAATTTTCAATAATAAAAAATTTAAAAAATAGATAAAGCTTTTAAATATATTAATAAATTACTTTGCAGAAACGTTCTACCAACTTACACTGAGTACTGGTTATCATGGTTGCTATATCAGTATGTCTACAAATTTACCAAATATTCGTTTTCACATATGTAAAATTAGGATAACATTTCTTTTCCACAAAATTGTTGCAGAAGTAAAAGAAAACAACGCATATAAAATAGTTTACCTGAGGCAATATTCACACGAAGCATTCAACAAATAGATATTATTACTTTCAATGTGTTGTTTAGAATCTACATATTTATCAGGAGACAGATTCCAGAATTAAATGTGCTTAAAGCAGTGCTTTAAGCAGTGCTTAAAGAGAAATTTATAGCACTAAATGCACATATTAGGAAAAAAGAAAGACCTAACGCCAATAATCTAGATTTCAAACTTAGAAAACTGAAAAAGGAGAGAAAATTAAATCAAAACTAAGCAGAAGAAAAGAAATAAGAATTAAGAGCATAAATCAATGAAATTAGAAACAAAATCACAGAAAAAAATCAGTTAAAAATGTGAAAAGAAAATCTTTTCTTTGAAAATATCAATAAAATTGATGAGCCTGAAGCCAGACAAACTAAGAAAAAAGAGGACACAAGTTACTAATATCAGAAATGAAAAGAAATGAAAGCAATGATCACAAACTAGTAGTAAATATTTGCAAAAGACAAATCTAGGAAAGACCTGTTCTCCAAAATATACAATGTACTCTGAAAACTCAACAGTAAGAAAAAATCTGATTAAAAAGGGGGTCAAAGACATTGGGTCACCTACCTGGCTTGACTCAGTAGAACATGGGACTCTTGATCTTGGAGCCCTGAGTTCAAGTCCCATGTTGTGTGTTGCGTATAAGTAAAAAAAGGGGAGAGGTGGCAAAAGACTTTAACACACAAATCACCAAAGACAAACAATGGCAAATAAGCATACGAAAAGATATATGTCATCAAGGAAATGTAAACTAAAAACAAAGAGTTATTACTACATGGCTATTACAATGGCCAAAATCTTGATCACTAACTATATCAACCATTGGCAAGGATTTGGAATAACAGAAACTCTCATGCATTGCTGGTAGAAATGCATAATGGTAAATCACTTTGTAAGGCACTTTGGCAGTTTCTTAAAAAACTAAATATATACTAATTTTAAGATCCAGTAATCATGTTCCTTCATTCATATACAATGGAGATGAAAACTTATGTCCACATAAAAACCTGTAATGGATACCTATAGTGCCAAAAGTTATAAAGTTAAAAGTTAAAGTTATACTTTATTTATAACTGCCAAAACTTAGAAGCAACCAAAATGCCCTTCAGTAGGTGAATGCATAACAAACTATGGTAATTCAGAAATAGAATATTATTCAGTGCTAAAAAGAAATGAGTTATCAAGCCATGAAAAGACATAAAGGAAACTTGAATTCATATTAGTAAGTGAAAGAATCTAATCTGTAAAGGCTACATACTGTATATTTCAACCATATATATTTTGGAAAAGGCAAAAACTATGGAGATAGTAAAATATCAGTGGTTGCCATAGCTACCATCAGTGGGAGAAGGGATGAACAGGTATGGCATTGAGGATTTTTAGAGCAGAGAAAATATTCTGTATGATACTACTATAATGGATACATATTCCTATATATGTGTTCAGAATCTAGGCATGTACACAGCAACACCAAGAGTGAACTGTGATATAAACTATAAATATCAATAATTATGATGATCCAATATAGGTTCATTATTGGTAAAAAAAAAATGTCCCACTCTAGTGGGGGATGTTGATAATATAGAGGCTATAAGCATGAGTGAAGGCAAGGGGTAAATGGGAAATCACTGTTCCTTCTCTCATTGTTGCTGTGATCCTAATAATTCCCTTAAAAAATAAAATCTAAAAGGTGATCTCAAATATGGTTATTTTGAAATTCTGAGCCTGAATGAATCTTTTTGGTTGGAGTAAATGTCTACTTAGTGTCTGACTCACCAGTTTATATCAACATCAGCATCAGAAAACCTTGTCCCCAAATTCTACACAGCTACCTAAAAGCTATGCTACTTTAAGCAAACCATTTCATCCCAAAATGAACACACTAATAACATCTTCACAGTATTACGAACACTGAATTAACATGTATAAAGAGTCTAGCCTGTAATAGGCTTTCAGAAAACTATCTTTCTTTCTACCTCCTTTCTTCTTTTCTACTAAGTTCCACTTAGTTCTAGTACTATGATTTTAACCTACAACCAGAGTGGCCTGATGTTCATCTTTCCCATCAAAATTCCAATATGTTCAAATAAAAAACCCTCCAAATTCCTGTAGCTTGCACAAAGGCCTTCTATTTAAATGTTGAGAAGTACATACTATCTGATAAAAGCTTTCGAGATTTTTCTTGTTACAATATTAAATTCTTCAGACAACCCTGAATGATTTTCTGTTCATTCCATCAATACCATAATTGAATACATATTACCCTTTTATTGACTTATTTCTCATTACTGTGGATAATTTTAGACTGGGACTTGGCTAATCATGTCTTTTCTGAATAGGCCAGCTATTGGGATTGAAGGTATGAAAAAACTGGGACAAGTCATCTGTAATAGCTGGAAGAATCCGGAAAGTGCTAAATACCTTGATTGTTCAGGGTTGCTTTTAGTCTAAGACTGCCGAAATCTTACTAGGCATTGGACAGGTGCATTAGTTTGAGGAAACATAATTCAGAACTTCTACTTCTAAGGTTTCAAAAGGTTCTTTCTCAAAGCTAGCTCAGAGGTGCTAATGCTATAATTTCTAGAAGACATAAATTAAGGACTAATGTCAGGTCAGAATCAACAAATATACAAAGTTATCTGCAAGAAAAACATGATGCCAAGAGTCAGAAAATTATATAGATTTGTGTCACTTAGTCAATGAAAGACATTGGGGTCATTAAAAAACAAAACTACAAACCTGCATTACTCCAAACCTGAATTATCTAAGGACTATCTAGAAATTTATTTTTAATTCATTGTCACTCTGACACAGATAAACATGTGTATATCAAAGAAATTTAATGTCCTATACATTCAGATCAGTGGAAGTGTTTAGCAATGGGGAATTATTTCCTAAAATGTGTAGTTTCTTTCTGTTGCTTCTTTCTAGTTGTGTGTCAGCTGCTACCAGGTAGGGAAAGGACCTGATTAACAGTTTCTTCAATTTTGCTTGAATAAAACCAGAGGGACACTTATATTTTGTCTTAGGTTGGCAATGCAAGTACAGTGGAATTACATCAAAATTGCACTCAACCTATAAATTGTATATTAGGGCATCAGAAAACCTAGAAAAAATAAATAATTCAACACATCCTTCTTAATAGATGAGTGCCTCAGGCTAGTGAAGCCATATAGGTGAAGAATTGAAGGCAGACTGTGACAGCTATGAGATAAATATATGAACAAAGGTTTCCTGTCATTTGAAAAAATTAAGGCACATTATTAAGTGACCAAATCAGTGATTGATATCTTCACTGATATCCTCGATGAAAAAAGCAAAACAAAACAAAACGTAATTATTGGCCAGAGGGAAACACATACTAATGAAAAACATCTATAGTGTTATTATAGATGTTAAACCATATGTATAATCACACATTTTATATATTTAAAATAACTTTGAGGTTAATTTTTACTGCACATAATTTCTATTTCATATTAACTTTGGAACATATATGATATAAGAGACCCACTAAATAACCCATGGGAAGGGATACAGGTACAATAAGTCCATCAAACAGCTGGATTCAATGCAGGAACCAAATCCCAGTCTCTCAGTTATAGAAACATTTATTGGAAGAGAATCAAAGATTTCTACATTTAGAAAGCACAAGAGAAAGTCTTCACTGAATAAAGTGCTGTTATGCTGTTACAAGGCTTGAACACATAATATAGATTCTATATTTTACAGATAATTTTATGATAATAAGTTTCCAATGAGAAAAAGCCAAAGAAGGGGGGAGTATGGGTATGATGTGTGGTAGACAGAGGTAGCCCTAGTAAAGTGGTCCCTTCTGTATGGCAATGTGAAGTTGATTTTGTTAGTATCTATGCCAAGTGGCAAGGAGTGGATATTCATTTTATTTCTCACTTAGGAATAGACTTAAGGCCTATGAACAGTTGTGTCTACGGAAACATTGTGGTCTACTCAGCATTGCTTGGTACTCAGGAATCCAGTAATTTACAGGCCTGATGTAGGTAATCCCTTTTCTTATATTAGTAAGGGTGCAAGGGCACTTCCCAACAATCCTTCCTATCATAGGTAGGAACTATTATAGATTAGATATTCAGGACGAGTTTAAACCAAGCACTACTCTTCTCATTAACCCGGTAGTTCAAGGTCAGTAATAGCAAAAAGCAGACATTAAGTGTTGATTAGTTACACTGAGTCCCATTCCTCTTCTAGTTATGCTGGGCCTCTGAAGAGAAATGACTTTATTCAGATTTAATAGAAGGAGTCTTTTATTTTTAAAAGACCATTATGGCTTAAATTAAAATCAAACTGTCATCAACAAATCAATAAAATTGAGGTTAATTACCATTTTTTACAACTAAGAAGAACACAGAGATGCAAACCTTGAATTTTCTTCTCACTTCTGCTATTTTCTCTTCTAATTCTTCTGTTTTAAATTTGGTTAGGTGGAAAACAGCACCAAGCTGATAAGCTTCCTTGTATAACTGTTTAAGAAATTCATCATTTTTTGACCTTAGTTTCATCAAAGATTGGATTTCAGACTCCAATTCTGATTTTTTCCTTATACTGTAAAAAATAAAGCAAAAAGATTGAGATGATTATTCAAAAAGAACATATATAGAGGCAAATACATTTAATAATAGCAAAAAAGGAACAAGGTCATATTTTATGTTGCCAAAAATATAAAACAAATAGTTTCTTAACTAAAATTTGAATACAAATAATATGACCCAAAATTCCATTTATTTTCCTGCTTTTCCTCTTGGCTACTCCTAATTGTCAAGCTTTGCTCAATTGCAGAAGGATAGGTGTATCAATAGGAAAGGCTTTTGGGGGTGGGGGGACACCTTGATGGCTCAGTGGTTGAGCATCTGCCTTTGGCTCAGGGTGTGATCCTGGATTTCCCGATCAAGTCCCACACTGGGCTCCCTGCATGGAGCCTGCTTCTCCCTCTGCCTATGTCTCTGCCTTTCTCTCTCTCTCTCTCTCTCTCTCATTAATAAATAAATAAAATCTTAAAAAAAAAAAAGAAAGGCTTGGGGCCCTCAAATGCTCAGCTTTCAGAGCATTCATCCCTTCTGTATCAATCCATCCCTTCTAATCCTATTTAACATTACTCTTTAAGAATAACTAAATATGAGAAAAATCTAGTCCATGAAAAGACAGAAGCAAAACTTAACAAAAGAAAACCAATAGCTAAAAGAAAACTTTCAAAAAAGAAAACCAACAGCTAAGGAGAAAGAGTTAATAGAGGAAAAAAGTAAGATGTTAGATTGGATATCATCTTTTTCCAGATACATACCACCGAGGCAAACAAGATAAGAAGAAAAACAAATAAGACATAGTTATATTCACAAATGAGGTAGGCATCTCTATAGAACAGAAATTAAAACTAGGAAACAAGGCAAAAGTACAGAATCAACAAGAAACTAACTGAAGGTATTCTACCGGAGGTGTTACTCAAGTAAGGCTCACTGTATCACAGCAGGGGTTTACGTCAGTTGTACTTGTTGGCAAAATAACCAACTTACTGATGAAAACTATAGGTTTATACAAAGCTAGGAACTACAGCATTGGGAAGAAAAGACTCAGAGACCAAAAACTCAACCAACGAGTAAAGAAGAAATTTTAAAAAATTGAAACACAATATACAAAGACAGTTCTAAAAGGGAAGTTAATAATAAATGCCTACGTTAAGAAAAAAAGATCTCAAATCACCTAACTTTACATTTCAAAGAACTAAAAAAGTAAGAACAAACTCAGCCCAAAGTTAAAAGAAAAGAAATAACAATCAGAGGAGAAACAAGTGCAATAAGCCAAAAGCCATAGAAAAGATTACTAACAGAAAAACATGCTTAAAAATATATATATAAACAAACCTTTAAATACATTAAAAAGATAGAGAAAGAAAACTCAAATAAATAAAATCAGAAATGAAGGGGCCATGTTACAAGTGATAACATGGGAATACAAATGTTCAAAGAAACTACTATAAACAATTATATGCCAACAAATTGGATACCCCAGAAGAAATGCATTCCTAGAAACATAATCTACCAAGACTGAATCCTGAGAAAATAAACAATCTGAACAGGTCACCAATGAATAAGAAAACTGAGTGAGTGATCAAAAACTCCTAATTAAAAAAGACCCAACCTGATGGCTTTACTGGTGAATTCTACCAAACATTTAAAGAAGAATTAAAGCCAACTGTTCTCAACTGTTCCAAAAAAATTAGGAGGAGGGAAAACTTCCAAAATCAATTTATGGGGCCAGCATTACCTGGATACCAAAGCCAGACAAGGACATTACAAGAAAAGAATATTACAGGCCAATATCCCTGATCAATATAGATGCAAAAATCTTCAACAAAATCTTAGCAATCTGAATTCAACACCACATGAATAGGATCATACACCATTATCAAGTAGGCTTTATCCCTGGGGTGTTAGGATGGTTCAAATATGCAATTCAGTAAATGTGATACACCACTTTGGTGGAATTAAGGATAAAAATATGATCATCCCAATAGAAGCAGAAACACAATTCAACATCCATTTATGATGAAAAAACTCTCAAAATATTGTATATAAAGGGACTGTATTTCAACATAATAAAGGCCACGTATGACAAGCCCACAGATATATCAACACACTCAGCATAAAAAAATGAAGGTTTTTCCTCTAAGATCAGGAACAAGGCAAAGGTTCCCGCCCCCTCTTACTATATCTTTGCAACACAGTTCTGGAAATCTTAGGACATTTAATTAAGCAAGAAAAGAAATAAAATATATACAAATCAGAAAGGAATCATTACAATTTTCTGTTTGCAGATGACATGATCTTATATAGACAGAACCCTAAAATCTCCACCAAAAAACTGTTAGAATTAATACATAAATTCAGTAAATTTACAGGAATACAAAATCAATATATAAATATCTGTTGTATTTATATATACTAACAATGAACTATCTGAAAAAAATAAAACAACCTCACTTACAATAGCATGAAAAATAATACATAGATAAATTTAACCAAGGATATGAAAGATCTATACACTGACATTGTACATAAGACACCGATGAAAGAAATTAAGGAAGACAAAGATGTGGAAATATATCCTGTGTTTATGGATTGGAGCAATTAAAAATGTTTAAAATGTCTATATGATCCAAAGCAATCTAGAGATTCAATGAATCTCTATCAAAACTCCAGGGGTATTTTTCACAGATACAGAAAAAAAATAACCTAACATTTGCACAAAGCCATAAAAGACCCCCCAAAGCCAAAGCAATCTTGAAAAAGAAGAACAAAGCTGGAGGTATCACACTTCTTTACTTCACATAATATTATAAAGCTATAGTAATCAAAGAAACAGGATGGTACTAGCATAAAAAAAACAGACACATATATCAATAAAACAGAATGAAGAGCCTAAAAAAAAAACATTTGACAAGGATGCCAGCAACACACAATGGGGAAAGAATCATCTCTTCAATATATGGTGTTGGGAAAACTGGATAGTCACATGCAAAAGAATGAAACCAGACAACTATATTATACCATGTACAAAAATTACATTGAAATGATTTAAATACTTAATTAATAATAGATTAATATATTATTTATAAATTATCATTTGATAATAATAAATTAAGTTTTTATTTAAGTAATTAAATACTTAATTCATTTCACAGGAATGAATTAAGCACAGGAAACACAGCACAGGAAATAAAGTAAAAATCAACAAGGGTAACTATGTCAAGTTAAAAAGCTTCTATAAAGCAGAAACCAAACCAAACCAAACAGAAACAAAAAACAAAACTAAATAAATTGAAAAGCCAACCTACTTAATGAGAGAAAATATATTTCAAAACATTTATGTGATAAGATGTTAATATCCATAATATATAAGTAATTTATATAACTTGGTAGGTAAAAGCCAAATAACTCAATTAAAGAATGGGCAAAGGACCTGAAAAGACATTTTCCAAAGACATAAAAATGGCCAACAAGTATGTGAGAAAGGTGCTCAACATCATTAATCACCAAAGAAATGCAACTCAAAAAATATCACCTCTCATCAGTTAGGATGGCTTTTATCAAAAAGACACAGCAAATTCTTGCAAGAATGTGGAGAAAAGGGAATCCCTGTATACTGCTGATGGGATCATAAGTTGGTACATTCATTACGGAAACAACTTAGGAGTTCTTCACAAAATTAAAAATAGAGCTGCCATATGATCCAACATTTGCATTTCTGTGTATATAGCTGAAGAAACAGTATCAGTTACTTGAAGAGATATCTGCATTCCTATGTTCACTGTAGCATTATTCATAATAGCCAAGATATGGAAACAACCTAAGTGTCTGTCAATGGATATATAAATAAAGAAAATTCCATATAAATATGGAATATTATTCAGTCACGAGGAACAATGAAATACTGTCATTTGCAACAAAATGGATGGACCTAGAGGACAGTATGCCCAGTCACATAAGCTAGATAGTGAAAGACAAATGCTATATGATCTCACTTATATGTGAAATCTAAAACAACAATAAAAACTAATTCATAGGGAAGCCCGGGTGGGTCAGCGGTTTGGTGCCACCTTCAGCCCAGAGTGTGATCCTGGACAACCGGGATCCAGTCCCACGTCAGGCTCCCTGAATGGAGCCTGCTTCTCCCTCTGCCTGTGTCTGTTCTTCTCTCCCTACCTTCTTCCCTCTCTCTCTCTCTCTCTCTCTCTCTCTCTCTGTGTGTGCGTCTCTCATGAATAAATAAATAAAATCTTAAAAAAAATTAAAAAATAAAAACAGAGAGTAGAATGGTGGTTACCAAGGGCTGAGAGGTGATAGGAATGGAAGAGTGATTAAAGGTGTAAGCCTTCAGTTATAAGACAAATAATCTTGGAGGATCTACTATACAGTATGGCAACTAGAGTTATATTGTGTTGCATACTTGAAATTTTCTAAGAGTATAGACCTTAAGCATTTCACCACAAAAGAACAAATAGTAACTATGTAAGGTGATTGATGGGTAGTAATTATTTCACAAAGTATAGGTATGTCGAATAATCATATTTTATACTTCACATATATACAATTTTGTCAATTATACTTAAGCTGAAAAAAATTAAAGAGAGGAGGTGTATTTAATAAAACCATATCCAAAAAATTTCCAGTACTGAAAATCAACATGGGTCATTAAAATGAAAAGTCCTACATAATGTTAAACTAGATGTATTACACACAGAGAAACACACATACCCCTAGGCATGGAATGGTGAAATTTAAGTACTCCAAAATACGAAGAGACAATTCTGAAGTTCCCAGAGAGAAAAAAAAAAAAAAAACAGATTACTTACAAATAAATGATATCCAAATGCCATCAAATGTATGATCACGCAAAATCAAACGAATGATTGGATAAGTTTAGAGATTTAAGGCTCAAGATGACCAGAGTTTACTCTTGTATTAAATACTAGAAGTTTGCTAAGAGAGTAGATTGCAGGTGCTTTCATCACACAAACACACAGAGACACACACAAAGATAACTATGTG